TCGAGAAAGCTGCTTTCTAATTGGTTGATTTCGACTTCTTGTTTGTCGTTCAGTGGTCGGTTCGCGAAAGTTCGTTCTGACGTGACCCGTAATGGGATGTCCTCAGATCTTTGTTTAGCGGCAGCTAGAACGTAGATCTGATTTTAAACGAGATTGGGTTAGACTGAAACCGTGGTGGAGGCTTATCACGTGAAGAGACTTTTATCTTGTTTGTACACAAACAAAATTCAAACAGACAGGCCTAATGAAAGCCTTTCAGTGCGCTTTACATATTGTCTTGCATAATTACTACTTCACCTGCAACAGTGAGGTGCATGAAAATATATTTTTACACAAAGTGACCATATCACAAGCTTTCCGATGAGCTTTGATGATAGCAAGTGGCGGATAAATACACACATGGAAATAGTTTTCCACGTTTTATGATATTTTCTCAATGAAAGTTAAACATTTCATGATGTATGTTCATCCAAAATGAAACACACGAACGGACTGTTTTAGATGTGATGATGTGACAAGTACTTGGCTGGACGCAAGGATTGGCCTCATACGACTGAGGCATATTTATGTTGTAAACTCATCCATAAGAAAATATACGACCTTCCTCTTCAATTATTGGATAAAGGTCCTTATGGTCTGCAGTACATTTGTGTCCCGTTTTATTTGTCACAATAAGCTGGGTTTTTTTAATGAGGGCCTGAAGAGTTTTGTCAGGGCTCGCAGCTAATGGCAGCCTGGTATTTTTGTATTTCAAACATTGCTGCCCACCACAATTACCATCTGTTTATCATGCCTACAATGATTCGCCCTTAATTTGAACATGTCCATGAAAACATTCCCTGTGACACAAAGTCGAAGATGGACCCGCCATTTTACCTTGACTACTATCCGAACTTGATCCATCGTGGCACACACGTTACAGCCCTCATGGCCTGTAAGAATCACCCAAACGTCATTAATTTCTTAAAACTGTTAAAAACTCTGTGCTCCCCATGGCAAAGGCCCACACTGTCCTGAAAATAAGTTTGTTTGTTTTGTTTGTCTGGTGTTTAAAAGGCAAGAAAAGTTTTAAGAAAAGAAGTGATAAACTTTTCGAGAGAGAGAAATTAATAATATTCGCAGAAAGTATACTCAACAACAAAAGTTACTGTGACACCAATATTTTAGTGTATTTTTCAAACAAGTTTGGTTTTCAATATTGTTGTACATGTATGGAATCAAGTCACAAAAACGCAACTGCTACAGAAAAGCATGCATTCCATGCAAAAGTTGACTTTTATGCAAGCCCCATGCATTTCACTACCCAAGAATGGGCATAAAAACGTGTGCGCTAACGGGATTCCATATGCATTGTTTGGGGCGGTCGTGTAGCCTAGTGGTTAAAGCGTTTGTCGTAACGCCGAAGACCCGGGTTCGAGTCCCGACATGGGTACAATGTGTGAAGCCCATTTCTGGTGTCCCCCGCCGTGATATTGCTGGAATATTGCTAAATGCGGCGTAAAACCATACACACTCACTCATATGCATTGTTTAGCATCGTGCTGACAACAACCACTCAGAAAAACAACAAAATTACGCAATTATTCAACATTACGAAATGCCACGCCTGTCCGAAAATGAGCGTCTGCGAGCCATTGGTATGCTTGAAGCAGGATCGAGTCAACGTGATGTTGCAAGACAATTAAACGTCACAGAAACTCCATTTGGTGTTTATGGCAACAGACGAATGCAGTCAGAGACCATCCTCGGAGTGGCAGGCCACGCGTAACCAATAATCGACAAGACAACTGGATTCGAACAACACACCTACGAAATCGATTCCAGCCAGCAACAGTGACTGCAAGAAGCATCCCTGGCCTTCGACGAATATCTTCACAAACCGTACGTTGTCGCCTCAGATGTGCAGGGATTGTCGCCAGAAGACCCACAAGACGTCCCATTTTGACAGGAAAACCACCGTCAAGCACGTCTACACTGGTGCAGACAGCGTCTACGCTGGACGGCCATGCAGTGGGGACAAGTTCTATTCACTGACGAGTCTCGTTTTCACCTCAGCCACAGCGATGGACGGATTCGAGTGTACCGACGTCGAGGTGAGCGTTACGTCAATCATTGTGTCATGGAAGAAGATCGGTTCGGGGGCGGCAGCGTTATGGTATGGGGTGGGTTTACAACAAGACAGAGGTCCCGTTTGATAGTGGTAGAGGGAAATCCCAATGGACAGCGCTACCGCGACGAGATCATCGGCCCTGTTGTTCTACCGTTTTTGCGTCGTCATGGCCCATGCATTACCTTTCAACATGACAACGCCCGGCCTCATATTGCTCGACTTGTTCAGGGTTCTCTTCAACAAAACAACGTGAATGTTATTCCCTGGCCGGCTCGCTCCCTTGATCTCTCACCAATCGAGCACATGTGGGATGATCTGGATCGGCGCCTTCGACGTCAACCACGTGTTCCACAGACACTCCGGGAACTTCGAAACATGCTCCAGCAGATATGGACAGATATCCCACAGGACTTTGAGCGACGCCTGGTCCATTCCATGAGACGAAGATGTGTTGCTTGCATCGCAACTAGAGGTGGAAACACACGCTATGGATTTGTAAAAAGAGATTTTGGCATGTTCATGTTTATTTTATGAAATAATGCATTTTCTGAAGTCACTATGGCAAATTAAACCACAGATTCGTAACGGCGACGGCGACGGCGACGGCGACGGCAGCAACAGCGTTGGGACATCCCAGCCAACGTACAGTACTACGACGACTTCGTGCTGCTGGAATCCGAGCGTATCGTCCTTTCCGAGGAATGGTACTGACTGCTCAACATCGACGCCTGAGACTGAGATGGGCGAGGCAGGTTCGACGCTGGCAAGTGAGAAATTGGCGTCGAGTGCTGTTTACTGATGAAAGTCGGTTTAACTTGTTTCGAAATGATGGCAGAGAACGAGTTTATAGACGCAGAGGGGAACGTTTGGCTACGGTGTGTATTCGAGAGGTCCATCCATTCGGCGGGGGAGATCAGAAGACTGACGTCATCGATGAGGCGGCGCATCACAGCATGCATTGAGGCAGCTGGAGGTCATATACGCTATTGAAGGCAACTGTGTCGACAATGAACTTGTAGTGTGTCTGAAAATTTTTTGGTGACATTTCAGACAACTTTTGAAATTGAAATTTCTTACCCCACCATTGTTTACCTTGAGCTTACATTACCTGTAATTGCACAATTTCATTCAAACTGTGGTTGATCAATCATTTGTTACCCCTCCCTAGATTATATTATAATTCACAACAAAACCTCTTGTTATTTTATTATCGATCATGGAACTCGACCTATACTTTCTTTTGCCGCCCAGTTTATTTAAATGTCCAATTGAAAGTGATCAAATCACACGCTCCGTAAATGGTTTTCCCCAACAAACTATCGGCGCAGCGGTGACAACTGCTTTTATCGACTATGCGTTTGCCGCGTTTATCTATCTTATGATTCTCAGTAACCCTTAAAGATTTACTGTTTCTGCTATTTCTGTTGATCCTACACAAATAGCAACATTGCATACGTTGTTGAATGTGTGAAACGGCCCTTGATCTTGACATTGTGAATAATTAAGATAACAATTAAAGATTATAGATTCCGTAATAAGAGTTTTATTACTGGCACCCTGTTTGCCATGCATCAACCAAGTCAGCGAGTCTGACTACCTGATTACGTTTGTCGCCTCTTACGACAGGCATGGGTTGCTGAAGACCAATTCTAGCCCGGATCTTCACGGGTGTGAAAATAAGTAAAGAGTTGCATACTATCTGTCTTTCTTCTTCAAACACGTCACGCCTGCGCGACGGGAAATCAACATGTCGCCGTGGATCATAGTTGTTAGGCCTACTGCCCCGGACTGAGTGGCAGCGTTATTTCTTTGACAGAATGGGATTCAGGGTAGGAGAAGGCTTCATCACCCTATTTTAGAAACAGTCATGCTGTAAACCCACAAACCTTTTCAAAAGGCACGTGATAGCATTCCCAAAGGCATACACAAAATTATAAGGTCACTCCAATTGGGGTTAGAGGGCAAATTTCAAGATTCTTGTAAAGGTCGCTTGATCATGCTCACTGATGGCAGCAATGTCGCTGAGAGTGTAACGAAGGTGTCGCACTGGGAAGAGCTTGGATAGGCACGGTGTTCGTTAAGTAAATCATAGTGTTTGGTCAAATTATATTTAAACTTTATTATGCCTCAAAGTGAGATTGACATTGAGTGAAGAATATTAAGAGCCGCTATAGAATCTATAATAGCCACTAAACGGGTAGATTTACCTAACCCAAATGATCGTAAAGGGATGATTTACCGTAAAGAGGATCCAAGGGCTAAGGACAGAGTTCGCGTAATCTAATAGCCACTAAACGGGTACCTAACCCTTATGATCGTAAAGGGGTGATTGATCGTAAAGGGGATCCAAGGGCTAAGGATAGAGTTCTGGGTAACCTACCCTAACACTAGCGATATTTGGATGTGTTCAGCGCCAATATAATATCCCTGTCTCATGACAGTTCTTCAGTGTAACTGACAATGTCATTGTCAGTTACACTGACAATGACTGAAGAGCTGTCATGAGACAGCGAAAGTACTATGTCTGAAACTGATATAAAGAAGATGATGGACTAACGACGACTTTATTATTTTATTATCTATTACATGTACACCGAGTGAACATTTACCGCATTTTTGTATAGATATATATGTGATGCTCAGTGATCAGCTGATCATTGCAGTATGCCGCTTATACCTGTAATTTTGGTGGAGAAAGTTTTGTGTTAAGTAATTTTCATGTTGTTGTTGTTTTATCTTAGCTTTACAGCCATTCTCGTTCCCAAGCAGACACAGTGCCTATGGGTGCCTATGAGTATCACAACCCCTCAATGCAGTCAGTACGCCCAGGAACAGTACAATATGAAGCTTACTCGCTACACACACGCACAGCTAGTAGGGCAGCCAGGGATGGAACTGACACGAATCATCTCATTTCGGTACTTAACAAACTTCACAATGATACAGTAAAACATACGAGATATTACTTATACTCACTGATACTTATACTCACTGATATTCTTGTGTGTGTGTGTGGTGGTGTGTGTGTGTGTGTGTGGGGGGGGGGGATATTCAGTCTCTACAAAATCCCTTACACAGCTGATGACTATTACCACCTACCTTTACAATTACTTAAAGGGGAAGTGTACACGCAAAAATCGCTTTCTTTCTTGTTTTAAACAAAACGCAATTTTAGAATTAGTTAGTATCAGTGTTAGAAAATATACACTCATTTTTCTCACAGTCAATGTAGCGAGCTCACAATAAGTGTGAAAATGTCGTGCCGTTATGAGGCCTTCGTTTTCCGAGCTAAACAGGCCTGAGTTATCCCCCTTAGATTATGACGTAATTGGTGCCAATTTAACTGGGTCCCTGTCTTGTCACAACGCAAAAGATATCAAGTACCAGTTTATGGTGAGACAACATGGCATCCGATACCTTGCCTGATCCGAAGAAGTTCCCTTGACCCTTCAAGAAATCGCAAAACCATACGATTTTGAACCAAAACGAGCAAGCTTCGCGGTATGGAAACGATGAAAATCAAGTGGAAACAAGAGAAGACCCACATCACCTAATTTGACACCCGACCCCGACTCGACATCTACACAATTAAGCCTACGATCGACAACGTGGTAAGAATAACACTTTGATGTGTGTATACTATACCTAAATTACCTAAATGCTCATTACGTTTTCAGAAGCGGAAACGTAATATTCTAAGAGATTTTTGTCATGCCTGGTGACCCGCATGCTTCGTCAGCAGGCCTATTCATCCTGTCCCACCCTGTTACGACCCTATCGCCGGTATCGGCATTGTCGTCAATCTGAGTTTGTCTGTATTAGGTGTAACTATTCCCACCACCTATAGGCTACAGATCAATGCTACTTGCCAATATCAAGAAACAAATACGATCTGTCGCCAAACGTTGTCTCAACAAGATTACACATTAGGCCTACCAGCTGATGACGAGACCATATGCATAGAGTAACACGAAAATGGGGTACGTCCCAGTACGTTTCTCAAGTCGGTTGCCGAGTGGAAACGTACTGGGAGAAAAAAAGATTCTCTTTGATTTTTTCCCATCCGAGTTCAAAATACCTGCCATATTTATTGATAAGTAATTGGATGTCGTACTTCACACTTCACACCGTCCCCATTTGAAAGTGAAAAGATAGATCACTCAATTGATTTGTTTAGTGTTTGAAACCAGTTACTGCAGTGGGCCTACAGTATCTTATTCTATTTAATAGATAATTGGTTACTGGTTTGTTCTGACAACCATTCATAGAAAATGCATTGCAACTTTGCAGGGAAACTATTTATCATCTATTATGGGGCCAGATTTTAAAAAAAAAAGTTTAGAAACTATAAAAAAGACGAAATATCTAATATATAATTAATTATTAAAAACAGTTGGTTGTTTAACTGAGTGGACCAGATATATGTAAAATGTTTACAAAAATCTCATTTACTGTCACAATCAATACATATAAATTATCTAAGAAACTATAAGTAAAACTTGTTGAATATTAGTGAAACATATTTGAAATTGTAAATCTTTGTTTGGAAATTTGGACCTCCCAACCTGACCTTTTGAGCAAAACGTCTGTAACAACCACCCCCTAAAATGCAAATGAAATATGCAATCATTTTTTTATATGAGTGAGTGAGTAGGGTTTTACCCCGCTTTTAGCAATATTCCAGCAATATCACAACTGGGGGACACCAGAAAAGGGCTTCACATGTTGTGCCCATGTGGGGAATCGAACTTGGGTCTTCAGTGTGACGATCGAACGCTTTCACCACAAGGCTACCCACCCACCCTTTTTTATATTAACACTTGAAAGAAAGTTTAGAAAAACATATAATATTATTTACTTTCATCAATTTATTTTATTATGCATTTTAAGATCTATCATGCACAACAAACAAATCTGACAAGTAAAATAAATCTCCAGTACCATAAATGTTTATTTGCCAGCAAGTTGTGAAAGCATATGTAACTTGTAAAGTTATTAAATTACATCAGTGATATTGAAACATGCCCACAATATTTCAAGAGGTATTCAAACCTATAGTAATAAACACATCATGTCAACATGATAGAACTATAAACTGTTTTGGTATTTATTGAATTATTAACATGTAATAAAAATTATGCATATATCATCAATACAAGTAACTTCTTATATAGGCATCCCTCCAGATTGAATGACAAAAATATATATGTAAAAGGTATGATATTTTTTCTAATGTTGTGTATAGCTTGACTAATAAAAGACACTTTTTCATTTCAGAATCGATCTACACCTCATAAACAAGAGGTTCACTTTGGGGATTTGCAGAAATAGTTGAAGAATCAGAGAAAAGTTATTCCATCTTGTGTTGTCGAGGTGATTTGTGAGAGATTTGCATTTGATGTATGTAATGTTTTTCTCTATGCTCATTAAAATAAACTTTTTTCATTGAAATCTTGTTTTATGGTCTCTGACAACAATCAGCCTTGGCTGTTTCATTTGATAAATTTCTGTAATACAGGGTGGCTGATGCTGGATGAGGTAGTTTTGGGCAAGGGCAAAGGCTGGGGAAAAGACTGAAGAAAATATCACAAGCACTGGCTAAATGCTCAGTGGCAACTTGTTAGTGCACTGGTTGACTAATTCAAAAGTACAGCTCTCTTGTTGTCTGAAGCACTGTACCTCACAAGACGCTCTAATATTTTATGACTTTGCATGAAAATAAACACAATTTGCACACAATGAAAATGGATCTCAACACCAGGGATTTCTTCTGACATCGGTGGGGCAGGATACTCTCACCTTTCGCGAACACCTGGTATTATCACTATTTGATAGCGATTCATTAACACATGCTCATGATTTAGTCAGAATCGTATCATCGACTTTGTTTTTTACAGAGATTTCATATGAATATGGAAAGGGTTTCGTCGCATGTATACTCTTCCATATAATCATTGTGGGACCTGAAAAATATATAAATAATTTTAACATAAATTTGTCAAAATAATATGTACACTGACTAAATAATTATAAAAGAAGGTGGTAATAATCTTCAGCAGTGTTAGGCATGTCACTGGGTGCCTGAATACAAATATCATCAGTTAACTGTGTACAAATTGTATCAGATATAAACTTTTATATGTCATTCACAGTATATGTTCATTTGTCATCCACACTACACCTTTACAACAAAAGACAACAATATAGAATATAATAGATACACAAAATAGTTCAATACAGAAATTATTTGCATAAAGTATATTTACATTGTGTGATTATTTATTGTCAAAATATTATTTTGTACCTCATACTGTAAAGCACGGTGTGCCATGCTTCTGGTGTACATTGGACAGTGACTGTACACCATGATGGACTGGGGACCTGTACTTTTTGGGCATCAGTGTCCGGCATGACTCCATATTTGAAAGATACAACATAGAAACATTAACACTTTTGTCATCTATATCCCACGATCACAAAATAAAAAATGGTTACTTGATTTTTTTCATGTACATATGTGTGTAAATTGCATTGAACATGGAATTTGAATATTTTGGGTGGTGGGTGGGCGATGATTTTGGATAGAGACTGGATATTTTGTCAGCTACAAACCAGCAAAACCAGATATCTTTTTAAATAAAAAAATATATAAAGCCTAAATAAAAAAAAGAAACATGTGGCAACGATGTATTTTCAACAGTTTCAACAGTCTGAATCAAAATGATTGTACATGATTATTTAAAGATTAGGTACACACACAAACACACACACATAATTTCAATGAGTTTATATAATTCCTGTGTTATTATAAAGTTTATTAATTACCGAAATGAGATGATTTGTGTTAATTCCAGACGGGAATGGCTGTAAAACTAAAACATTACGTAACACAACTTACTCCATCAACAGGAGTTTGCTGCATACTGCAACGATCAGCTGATCAGGTGTATCGACATAACCATGGAGGAAGTGAACATGTGAAATAGACAACATCGAGGATATTCATGATTATCAAGTGAAACTATGTACAATATCACCCTACCCCTGCTAAAATACTTTTCTTAAATACTACTTTGGTTAGAAGAAACAAAACAGCAAACTTACCTGATCGAGTTACTTCAACTTTACGGCGTTTGTTTACAAAAACATCCCAGTCAGGGTCTTGATGAGAGTGCTGTCCCTTTAGCCCGTTTCCATATAAGGTTCGTACACCATCCGCTTCCGATCAGTTTCAGCACAGGACCATGTAACTAATAATAGTAACAAAAACGGCCTTCTGCCTCGTTTATAATTTTTTGGCGAGTTTTTTTTATATTGTTATTATTAGTTACAAATGGTCCTGTGGTTTCAGAACCAGCAGGTATCTAAACTCTCACGGAAGACGACAGCAACTCAGCAAGAGCGAATATGCGCAACACAAATGAACGAATAAGCGCAATTCATACAACGGACCTTTCCAAACACAATCGCGAATCTTACTGTATGTTATCCATGCATTGTTGTCTTCTCAGTCGCGATTTTGGAAAACGAAATAATTTTAGAGTAATTGTGCTTAGCGTTGTATCTTGGACAGCTCGGCACCAAACAAAACAGTAGGATGCGCATCTGAGAAGATAGAACCACACACCTTAGACTGGTTCCCGTTCGTTCCTGCGACAGACTGGAACGACCGGTATTGGGTAAAACAACCTTCACCTTGACGTTACGGTAAACTGGTTTAGCGCCTTTGCTGGTTATATAGACAGTAACATAGTCAAGACAAGATGGCGACTAATGTGTCGTCTGTGAACAGTGACATAGAAATTGCAAATATTTTGGCTCGGGCGAACAGGTACCAATCTTGTAATTTTTTCCAATTAAAGGCTAAACAACGTGATGCTATTTTGGCATGTGCATCAAGGGGTGTTTTGGGTGTTCTACCGACTGGTTACGGCAAAACTGTTGTGATACAGTGAACGATTCCGCCAGCACTGTAGTGGTTGTGAATCCACTAAATGCGATTCTCGAAGAGCAGCACAATCGCCTCCGTAGCCACAGTGTAATAATTATAAATAAATGTATGTTTCATGTTTGGAAAATAGTGCTATTTAATATGTAAACCTCCTGAAAGGGCGATACCTTGACGTGGTCAGGAGGCTTAATTCTCTTTGACTTTGATATGGTCGTAAGGGAAGACCAAAATCGCCTTGTTGTAGTGATTATTTTATGGCACAATTGTTAAATGTTTTCTATAAATAAACATGTCTTAGTGTACTGTGTCCCATTATCCTCACCCCATATTCAAATTTCAGATCAGTCACATTATTGTTGATGAGGCGCATTGTGTCATATCATGGGGGAAATCTAACTTTCGACCGGCCTTTCTCAAAGTAGGGGATTTACGTGCAATCCTTAGAGCCCAGTATGAAATTCAGCAGGCTTTGTGCATAGTGAATCCTCTAATTGCAGCTGAAACTCCTGGCAAGTGAAATTTGCAATCAAAATAGATTTATAAACAAAACAGTATACACCAGCGAGGTATTGATACACTTTGTTGATACCCAATTTATGAAAACTTGACATGTTTCGGAAACATTTCCCTAATCCCTATTAAATCTATTTAACAGTATCCCAACTAACATTTAGTATATTGAGTCATTTGATAACACTGATGTAGACATGGAGATCTAAGATTAAGTATAGCCATGGACTTGTATATAGGTCTGTGGTTTTGCATACAATGCAGCAACCTATAATCTAAAGGGCATCAACATTACTTACAAGGGTCAAAAGGGAAAATACCTCCCAAAAGGGTTATAGATTATTTGTTATTAGACTTTCTGCACATGGTTGACCACTGGACAAAAATGATGTTTCACACATACATACATATGAATTTAATAATATTCTTAATGCTATTGGAAATGTGAAGTACATCCAAAGTAGTAGTACTAGTACAGTATACTGTCATCTCAAGAAGAAAATTAACACCACAACAATTGCACTCAGAAATCTTTCAATATATTTTCGAATATACACACTACAACATGTACAATCTACAGTATGGTTTGATAAGCTAAGGCAATTCATGTAGCGAAGCACTTTGACAATTACAGAGGTTACCGTATTTGACGTAATAAGCGCCCAGGGCGCTCCCAAATTAGAAGTAGGGAGCTCTTATTAGGATATTATTTTGAGTTGAAAGATCGTAAATTTTGTGGTTTATGCTGACAGCCTGAAATGTTTATATACGACAGATATATTTTTCCAGGATTTAATTGCCCATAATTAAGGATGCATATGACATACGAGTGCGTATTATACACAAATAAATATGTCTTGTGTACATTAATCAATTGGAAGGGATGCTAACTGAGATTGTTCATTAGCCAATATATTAGCAAATATCGCCGTGGGCGCTTATTAGAGCAGGGCGCTTATTACGCCGAATACGGTAGTTACAAATAATCATGACGTGACAAATCCCGAAATTTGAAGTTACCATTCATCTCATCAACTCTTAAAATATGTGATAATAATCACACTTGTTAGTGAAATCATAGAAAAAATTGTTTACTTTTCTTATTCTCCATTCACCAATGTTTAGAAAACATATTGTTCTTAAATGCCAAGTTTAGTATGACAAATGGAAACGTAAAAACAATTTACAAACATTCTTTTAAACATTTTTCGTTTGAGAAATGGTAACATAAACTCAATATCCTGATTTTGTTTCACAGTAAATATGAATTATGTATAATTGCTTATGTCTGTATGTTTACACTAGTGATCATCAATCAACATTGTCACTAAAAACAATTGTGAAAGTGAAATTCTAGTCACAGAATAGGTATGTTTTTGCCACAAAATACAGCTGGGATTGATATTAGTTACAAGAATAAATAGTTATAACACTGAAATATCTTTCTTCGATACTGCACAAAACAACAGTACAACATGATCATAGAATTAATATCACACAATCCAATTTGAATGGCCCCAAATATATGGTGAAAATATACAACAAGTGAACATTAACCTCATTAACAAACATTTGCAAATTGATAACCCATCTCAGCTTTTTCCTGAACTTGTGAAAGTATCCATGCCAAATGGCAAAGAAATCTGTTAATGCGATAATTGAGCATTTATTCATTTTGTTGTACATGAATACCAGTTTGACCAGATGAGTCAAAGATACTCTTCCAGGAACATTTCTTGATTGGTGGGTAAGAAATTCTGCCAATTGACATTATTTTTTTCTGCCTTTTAATCTTTTTCTTTGATAAGATTTGGGTTCTCTTTTGATTTGCTTAGTTATGCTCAAGCATAATTGAACAACAGACAACTGGTGAGGCTGGTTCACTGACTGTAAGTGGTTGCAAGCAGTTTTGTTTAGGCACCAACGGAGAAGTGGCATCAGTTGACGGTATGTCAGAGACATGGCAGGTCTGTGAGCATATAGCAGGTGCGGCTGGTTCACTGACTGTAAGTGGTTGCGAGTAGTTTTGTTCGGGCACCAAATGGAGAAGTGGCATCGGTTGACGGTATGTCAGAGACATGGCAGGTCTGTGAGCGTATGGCGGGTGAGGCTGGTTCACTGACTGATACATTTGATAACATAGATCTAATTAAGGAATGCGAATGAGTGGTATAAAGTGCATGACTGCTACATGCCCAGGTCACTTCAATCATAGGCCCAAAGGTTACATCAGTCTGTACACCCATTTCTCTGGTCTTCTGCACAGTCCTTCCACTCTGTGTATTTGATATTTTCCACCCCCCTGCTCTCCACAAACTGTCAAAAATTTCTCCTCATCTCTAGTCCATCTCCCATTATGGCATGGTTCCTGCAAAATATTACCTATGTATTATTTTTTTTCAAATATTCTAAATTTAGGCAAATGGTGCAACATCAGTATGTTTATACAAAATTTGTGTCAACAGCTTAAAACAAAACTTATAAAATAATGTAGGGAGTCTCATATAAAACTTGTCAGGATGGCCAATACTGTTTGCTTTGTCTTAATCTTTACCACCTAAACTTTGTATCAATGACTATGTTATGGTACGGTCAGTCATGACTTCATTCTTATGCAAGTTCCTACAAACAAACATGTATGTGTATGCAGTTTGAATACAACTTTGTATCAATGACTATGTTATGGTACGGTCAGTCATGACTTCATTCTTATGCAAGTTCCTACAAACAAACATGTATGTGTATGCAGTTTGAATACAACTAATAATTACATGGTAATGAATGATTAAATATTAATAAATATAAATAAATATTACTATAAAGAAATTTTCAAATGAATAAAAAATAATAGTCTGCCGTATCAATATTTGCACGAAATTAGTCAAAAGCCATTATGTGGGTACTAATACTCACCTCTATTACTGCGAAAACTACAATATTTCAAGGCTCTCAAGCCTTGCCCAATGTGTTTTGGCAGCCGCCATCTTGTTTAAGCAGACCATGTTTTATGGTGGGCGATAACGGTCCTTTAATTCCTTGGAAAGCAGAGCAAGAGCAGCGACACCAAGCAGAGGATCCGGGAAACATTCTATGGCCTTATGTGACACCAGCTGTTAATCTGGAGACAACAGATGTAATTACAGTTACTGTACATGTAGTATATTCACAAAGGCATTCAACAACATATTATTATATCATATGTACCTGCATAGGGCCTGTTGCATGTTAAAGTAGTGCAACCTATTCAACTGACTCTTTATGTATTGTAATGCATTGGTTAACATGATCATAAGATGGACACATTTTAAAAGTCACATCAAATGATTAAATATTTATAAATAAAAATAAATATTACTATATAGAACTTTTCAAATAATTTAAAAATAATAGTCTAGTCTGACCCTATAAATATGGACAGATCTTTGATGTCCTTTCAATTAAATATGAAGCATTTGACGATTTATTCATTGTCCTGATTTTTTTCATCAGTTGATCATATTTATAATGTTAATTCTTTGATTGAATCAAGACATAAGGGACCAACCATTTGATATTCTGATGGTAGGGCTGGGATTTTATTGAGAAAAATAAATTGTCCCTGAAATATGCTTGAAAAAAATATTCATGCTTCAAACTTTTGAAAAAAAGGAATTGACTGCTACAACGAATACATTGTTGCAAGAGGCATATAAAAACATGATTAGTCTCATAGTTGTAATTAAAAGAATATCTGGTATTTCAGCTGTAGCTGATAATATGTTTTGTCTCCAAACACAATCCTAGACCCAGACCACCATCCCCTACCCTACTCTCCCACCAATATCAAATGGTCCCTCAGTATGCTCAGGAATTTAATAATATACCCACGAAATTAGGGTACATGACCATATCTGACCATAAACATAGCCCAGTTCAAATGATTCCCGTTTCGTAATTATTGTCACAATAAAATATTTGCAGTTAAATATTTATTCGTGCTTTCATTGCCTTTAAGTTTTTTGATGCGGGAATCATCAAAACTATTAACAAAATATTTCTAGATATTATTTCGGTCAAAATTCAGTTTCATGTGTTATCATTGACATTTTGGCCGTGTCATGTTGTTGCCTAGAAATGACAATTTCGTACTACCAGACACAATGACAAGCATATGAATTATGAATATAAGTGCATATGTAATAGTCCATGCAACAGATAGTTGACAACACGGCAGTTTCATACAGAATTTCTCAGAAACTTAAATTGTCTTGCGTAAGAACTTCATGATAATCTGTTCAGAAGGTAAATTCATAAGAGATTCATCGTCCTCCATTTAAAACAAAAACACTGCCGTGTCAATATTTGCACGAAATTAGTCAAAGAATACATTGACATCCCATAGCCGTTATATTGGTACCAATACTCACCTCCATTACTGGGAAAACTACAATTTTCCAGAGCTCACTAGCTTCGCCCAATGCATTTTGACAGCCGCCATCTTGTTGTAGCAGACGATGTGTCATGGTGGGCGATACCGGTCCTTTGATTGAAAAGCGGAACAAGTGCAGCGACACCAAGCGGAGGATCCGGGAACCAGTCTACACACACCTCTACATACACCACGTGAAACGCGTCTAATAAAGTCTTATGACGTCTTTCCTTTATCAATTGGCACCAATGACGTCATATTGCAAGGGGCATAAGCCATGGTGTGTTTATTATGGAAATAGAACTCTCTGTAAATGTGAAAAATATTAACCGATTTTATGAATAAAATAAATGAGACACGTGTGATATTTTTATTGTTTTGCCTCCGAAACTACTAGGTAAATACTTTTCATGATGAAAAAGTACAAGAAAAATTGGTTTATTTTCGTGTGAACTTGCCCTTTAAGTCAGTGTACGTTATTTTGACGAATTTATAAATTGTTTGAATTATTTTTCGGGTCCCTCAATGATCACATGGAAACTAAATTAAAGCGAAAAAAACTTTCTGTCAAAAGTTGATTGTACGATTCCGACCATATCACGAGCAAGTGTCAATGAATCACTGTCACATAGTGATGATACCAGGTGTTCACAAAAGGTGAGAGTAAGGATTCCTGCCCCGCCAGTGACAGACACAATCCCCTATGTTGAGATCCATTTTCATTGTGTGCAGATTATGTTATTTCACGCAGAGCTACAATTCATAAAATATGTGTGTGTCTTGTAAGGTACAGTGCTGCAGACACCAAGAGAACTCTTTTGAAATAGTCAATCAATGTACTAACAATTTGCTACTGAGCAATTTAGCAATTCCCGGCCTTCACCATTGCCAACACCTCCCTCATGCAGCATCAGCCATCCTGTATTACAGAAACTTACGAAAAGAAACCGCAAAAGCAGATTGTTATCAAAGACCATAAGACAAGGTTTCAATGAAAAAGGTTTATTTTAGTGAGCATAGAGATAAACAGTACATACATCAGAGGGAAATCATTCACAAATCACCTGGACAACACAAGATGGAATAACTTTCCTCTGATTCTTCAACTATTTCTGCAAATCCCAAAAGTGAACCTCCTGTTTACAAGGTGTAGATAGATTATGAAATGAAAAAGTGTCATTTATTAGTCTCACAAAATAAAACATTGCAAAAATATACCATTTAAACATGTATCTTTGTCAGTCATGCATTTTTAAGAGGCAGCTTATATTGATGATATATGGATAATATCTCTTAAATATACCATGGTAATAATTCAATAATAACCAAAGCATTTTATAGTTTTCTATCATGTTGACATGGTGTGTTTATTACTATTGCTATAAATACAAAATTCTTATTGAAATATTATGGACATGTTTCAATATCACTGATTCAATTGAACAACCTTACAAGTTGCATATGTTTACATAACTGTCTGGCAAATAAACATGTATGGTATTAGAGATGTATTTTACTTGTCAGATTTGTTTGCCTTGCATGGTAGATCTTCAAATGCATAATTAAAAAAACAAAGACAAGGCAATAAGTAATACAAATCCTTGCTCACAGTCTAGAATAAACAAGTAATTGTTTTTGTCATTGATGAAAGTAAATCTTGTTACCGCGAAACTGGCTCTTGTATGGTATTGCGATTTCTTGATGGGTCAAGGGAACTTCTTCGGAATCAGACCATTGTATCGGATGCCATGTCGTCTCACCATAAACCTCAAAACGGCATAACATTTTCACACTTATTGTGAGCTTTCTACTTGCACTGTGAGAAAAATGAATGTATATCTTAAAACACTAGTATTAACTAATTCTAAAATTGCGTTTTCCTCTTAAGACATTCGCACCTGCACCGTTGGAGATTTCGATCTTAGCTAAGATCGCGATCTTAACTCGAAGACGTTTTACAATCGCGCTGAGATAGTTTTTTTGCAAGTGAATATGGTGGTTGGAAAGTTGAATGTAGGCGCCTAGAACGATTGTAACTAAGAATACTCTGTGTTCAACATTTCATCGCCGACTAACCCGGCAATCTCACTTTCGGTTACACTCTCCATCCCAGAGTTCCTTGCGACTAAGCTACCGTAAACTGGGACCCGTCTCTGATATCACATGGGAATCGCAGTAGTAATACGTACAAGAAAACATTGATGCAGAGCATCAAAGTTCCCCGCAATATGTCATGCCTCACAAACGCATAATAATGATGTTACTGAAATGCATGAAGGCGCACAATTATATTAACCACAAATAAGAAAACTTTGTTGTGGAAAAAAATATTATATATTTTGAGTGTTGGGCAATACAGCTGATACATTTGCATAGGGTAGGTCTATTTAAGAGGTTTTCTTGTTTAACGCCCACTTAGCATTATTCCAGCTATTTGACGCTGGACTGTAAATAATCGAGTCTGGAACAGATAATCCAGTGATTGACACCAAGAGCATCGAACTACGCAATTGTAATATGATGTCATGCATCAACAAAATCGGCGAGCCTTTACTAGAAAAGTAATTATGATTATGATGAGTTGAGTTTCTTGGTCTTTTTCCTACTGTTTTTTGTCCAGTGTCAGTAACTGTTGTGGAATGTGGTTTACTTGTAACAGTGACTGGTGTGAGTTGATATGATGATGATTGGTATACTGTTAAGATGTATCATAACAATTCATCCATACTACTAAACAGAAGTGAAACTGCTTGTTCATTCGGATCAATCTGACCCAAACCATTCCGCTGATGAGAGTCAAATAATGCATACGAATCAAACTCCGTAAAAATTGCAATGGAGACATAATTAAAAGTTACCAAAAGTGACTGGGATATCATTATTGCTTGATGAAATGATTCTAGAAAATTTGTTTCCCCCTGCTTCAATATTTGGAGCACCTGTGACGGGGCCATAAAACTTATCTGTTATGTAGACAATATCGCTTGAGGCAGCTGATTATGACCTTAATATCCCTCATAGCCTTCGGTGTTAACTATGTGACTGTGCCTTTATGCAACAGATTATCGAGGTCAGTGGAACACGGTAGAGACGCAAATATAGATTTGAGCCCTGGGACACAAAATATATGATAGCGACCAGAGCTACGGCTGTACATTGAATTCCATTAAACGGTTGGAAAATACTACAGCCTTGGTGTAAATTCGCCTACACACTACTCCGATTTTAATTTGACTTTGCTACCAAACGTTTCACATGTGGCTATGTGCGGTGCATTGATTATAACAACACATGGGGGACTGGGTTAATTCAAAATACGGACTATAACTATTCCAAATATTTCCAGTGAACATGAACATCCAAACGACCAAAAGTGTGGTATGTAGAATGTGGAATTCAGCCGTATTACATATAATTTGAGAAGTCGTCGTTGTTCATGAATAGGCATATTCAGAACATATTTTATAATATACCGCTGTTATTTACGATGTCCGGAGTACAGTTCTTTTGTATACACTGTGCAAACGACCATCAGAAAATTAGTCCTTGAGGAAAAAAGGACATCGGATTACAGATGAATGGTTTAATAATGTCAGCTAATGACCAGAAACGGTCAGATGCATAAATTAACTACATAAAGACGATTTTGAAGTATCTGTTATTGCTGGAAAAGAATATCATCGACATTTCATACACATGATTTGTATGTTTCGTTTCGGTAACTGCGTGGCTTGAAACCAACATGTCGACATACATCAGTGTTCGAAATACCTGCCTGCCCGACCGTCCGAGACGGGTTGATTTCAACTCGGGCTGCCAGATTTTCAAATCCCCCTGCCCGACGGTCGGGTTATATTTCATATGTGACAATATTCTAAATATTTCCCGATGATAATCATTGATTCACATGTAAAGATGAATGATAAAATGTAACCGAAAAGAAATCCCGTTAGCTTATCCTGAGAAACATATGATTATAGTGGGCAGGCAGGTTTTGGTCAGGGCTGGCAAGTATTTCAGCTAGCCAGTCCTGTGGTCTGGCTGAATTTTTTTGGAGTTTCATGCCCTGCATACATGCTATAAAATTAACCTCTCCCGTATACTTCCCCGGCCTGAAGGCGGGGAATTATTTGGGGACGACGCGCATAGGGAGCCGGGAACTTGAATCTCATCACTGCCGGGTGGTTCGGCTATTTCCGTCAAGCGCTCTCTGTTGGCAGATTGTTAGACTGGTTCCCGGATCCTCCGCTTGGTGTCGCTGCACTTGTTCCGCTTTTCAATCAAAGTCTGTCGCGGAACGAACGGGAACCAGTCTAGCAGATTGTAAACCCGGCGGCCGATTCGATGACGTCATCATTCGATTCCATTGTGACGTAAAGCGATAACGGCACGACATGACGTCATGTCCTCTGAATGAAAACAATATGGATGCGCTTTGATGTAAACACCTAAAAAAGTCCGGAATCTTGTTGAAGGTGTCGAGCAACCTAAACATTATGAATATGTGACCATGGATATACGCTAAATATGAATCTTTCCAAAGGGAAGCGCAATTCTCCCGCCGGATCCCCTAAATCGAAATGGGGAACCGCTATTTCAGGGGTAAGTAAGAATAAAATGACAGATGATATAATACAGAATTTGGGGCCAATTAGGATAGCATTTATTCAACATATTTCAAATTATGCAACCAAGCCTTGGCAGTAGAATGTACTTTGGAGGTCCCTATATGTATGCGCTGTAGGGAATAAGATCTAGGCTACATATTCTTTTGAAATTGATGAAATGAAAATGAGCTGCATGTGAATGGTGTCATTTGAAGAGAAGGCGTTTTTACTCCCTTCTCTTTAGTATTGAACACCATGGGGATTCTGATCTCTGGATTGTATGGTCAATGGGCCAATTATTTACAGTTATTGAAGGGACAGAACGGTATAGTACATGTCTCCTCTAGGCTCTATACACAAATCATTCCATAGTACCCCTCACATTAGCCTTTTTCAATTTGACCCGCGAAAATCCAAGTTAGACTTGCCGACGGTACAGATGCATTATACCGGACACCAATTTCTTTGATGCTACTAATAAAGTATTTTGTATCTACTTTGGTAATTAAAGATTTCATTTACTTACGAAATCATTTTATTCAGATCGATGCGCATGATGACAATGAATGGATTGTCTGGTCCAGACACGAGTAAGGGGAGGCTGTTCTTACTTTAGTAAACTTACAACTTTTAAGAATCAGTTTTAACTTAAGTTAATATAAACCATAACATTACTTTCGAAAGCATATAATTCAAACGGCTGTGTGTGTGGATTTAAATGTGTCCGTGAGTTTAGGCACGTATCGCAGGACCCACGAACAAATACGTTTAAATTAGAGAGAGTAGGCGGATTCTCACCTTTGTATTGGAGTAATGCAAACATCGTGGCATCATAAAGGTTCAGAGCATCACTGATAAAAAGTACTTGATTTCGAAAGATAATCATGATGTGTGTAGATCTTCAACAATACATATTTAGGATCTAAACATATTAGGGTTAATATTGTATAAACCTTTTCAAGCCGTCAATCTGATGAGCACCTTTAGAATACAGTACCACAACTTCTCGTGAGGGCGGCCTCTGCCGTAGGTCACATGAGCTACCGACTGAGCTACGTCCACACTGTGAAACAAAGTGCAAATTTACCTAGTCATGCCAACGACATTACGGGACTGAACGAAAAGGGTCGAATAGGTGACGGACCCTTACGAAGGTTACGGGTAGGCATGGTGTCTCGTGACTTTAGTCTATCGACACTTACGAATGATTCCGATGCCATTTGGCACACTCGTCCCATTCCGTAATCTACAAGATACCGAGTGGCGAGGAATGATCCGATATGGCGCGAACTGAAAACGGCTCCAGGCGTCAGACGTCAGACGTCGCACTCGCGAGTACGCATGAATGACGTGTTATTTAATAATTCGTCGGGTGGATTTTGTGACAGAAAAGTGTGGTAGGGAACACTGTAAGGATGATGTTGACAATAGTAAGGAACGAGGGAGGCATGTGCATGGCTAGTGACGACACAACGGTGAGTTCGCTTTTGAATCAGTACTGAAAAAATGTAGCCGGTGAAAGTGGCTTGTGTGAATGTTCCAGGACAGTTTCCAGTAGCCAAAGTATTCGACACAAAACCATTTCATTCTTTTTACTCGATGTTTTTGTGTGAAGAATATTAGAAGAAACTAAACGGGTAGCGATACCGAACCCTAGTTATGGTGAAGGGATGATTGATCGTGAAGGGGATCAAAGGGCTAAGGACAGAATTCGGGTAATCTAATATGGCCACTAAACGGGTACCTAACCCCTATAATGATCGAAAAGGGGTGATTGATCGTAAAGGGGATCTAAGGGCTAAGGATAGAGTTCGGGGTAACCTACCCTAACACTAGCGATATTTGGATGTGTTCAGCGCCAATATTATATCCCTAATAAACTACATTCTTGTGCTTAATAATGAAAATTAATGCACCGAAAAAATAATATTTGTATATTAGTATTTATAACAATTTTAGCCACTTCAATTGCGAGAAAAACGAAATAAATAATATATAAAAAATAAAAGTGCTTTATGCCGCATAAGTGCCGCCTCAGGCTATATTCAGTTAAAAAATATTCAAAACTCTCCACCGCGCTTGGCGTATTCAATGACATTGCGTCTAGAGATGATAGATCACCGGGAGGAGCTTATGCACACTCAATGACCCCTGACGTCACAGGGCATTGTTTCGCCGGTGTGACTGGCAACAAAATACTACAAATTACGTCATAGGGTATTGTCACGTGTTAGAAAAGTTTGTGGTACTGTAGTTTGTGGTAAAGGTAGGCCGACGACTTTACTAATCAGTTGTTGTCCTATCGTCACTAACTAAAAATGGCGGGGTATTAATCAGATATACCTTTATTGTCAGCTTCCTGTATGAGAGAAATACTGATAGGCATTCAGCTACAGCACATTGACGAACACAATGAATTTTAAACCTCTGTAGGATTCGAACCTGTAACCTCTTGATTTTTAGTTCGTCACGCTACCACCTGTGCCATGGAGATCGTTATTGCCACGAATGTCAGTTTCCCTAGTCACTATTAGCTTTGTCTATTTGTACATTTTTATGTTAATATTGTAGCAGGTGCGTTGTAAGTCCTGGTAGTGCGTGTGTTATGCAAGTGCCTGTAAATCTGATTTTCACATCTAATTTCAATATTTACTATACATCTCATCCATATTTGATTTATAGCCTGATGAAATGCACTTTATTAAACATGTTTAAGGTCCACACTTGTTTGGATTATGGGGATGTCGTGTTTAGGTGGTGTTAGGCTATGAGACGATAGCTCATTTCACTTTTGTTTAGGACACGTGAAGATCCGGGTTAGAACAGGTCTTCAGCAACCTATGCTTACCGTAAAAAGCGACTAACGGGATCGAGTGGTCAGGCTCGCTTGGTTGATGCATGTCATCGAATACCAGTTGCGTGGATCGATGCCCATGTCTGTCACTGGATTGTCTGTTCCAAATTCGATTACTTACAGACCGCCGTCATATAGCTGTAAATGTGCCGAGTGCGGCGCTGAACAACAAACAGACATATGTTAAGACCCTAAACGTGTTTCGATTGAACACCAAATGTGTATACCATTTAGGATTGAAACACAGGATTCCTAAACATATCATTATACATTCTTAAAACAGTTTTTACAGTGTGGTTGAAGTAGTGAATTATACGAATTTAATAAGTAATATTTACTCATCTTTAGCATCTTCGTGAAATCTGCCAGGTAGGATAGTAAATTCGCTTTTTACTAACCTCCTGGCCGCAGTTACTAATTAAGTTAACTAGGCTTTTTTCTCAGTGTATGCACTGTATCTAAACATGTATACATTTTTACGATAATACACAATGACATGCATTTGGGGGCCTACCTTTAGAATGCAGCACCACTCCTAAACGCGTTTAGCTCAAGACGTGTCTTGTATGTGTTTTCATTCTAAGAAGATTTTGTACATAGATGCCGTTTTTAATTTCTTAATTTCTCGTGTATGCAATCGCATTGCTGTGGATCTATAATAATATTAGTTTCTCTATGCGGTTGTCCACCTCTCAAATGTCCGGATATCTCGAAGTTGCAAGACGGTCCGGGTCCGAAAGTATTTCAAAAAGTGTCGGCCTACCTTTAGAATACAGTACCACAAAATTTTCTAACACGTGACAATACCCTATGACGTAATATGTAGTATTTTGTTGCCAGTCACACCGGCGAAACAATGCCCTGTGACGTCAGGGGTCATCGAGTGTGCATAAGCCCCTCCCAGTGATCTATCATCTCTAGACGCAATGTCATTGAATACGCCCAGCGGTGTTGAGAGTTTTGAATATTTGTTTACTAAATATAGCCTGCGGCGGCGCATTTTATAGCATGCGCTAGTTTACGAAAGCACTTTTATTTGTTATATATTATTTATTTATTTTTTCTCTTAATTCAAGTGGCTAAAATGGTTATAAATGGGAACTAATATACAATCCGAAGGTCGCGAGTTCGCGTCCGACGGATTCTTACAAAAAAATGGTTGCTTGTCTTTGAGACATGTGATCAACGGCAGAGATCGTCCTCACAAAAAGTTGTGGTACTGTATTTTAAAAGCGCTCCAAAGTGTCTAACTAGCAAAAACGAGTTGTAATAAAACGGTATCTAAAAGGGACGCAATGGGACTTTTTAGAACGAGTTGAAAATGTGCATGGTGCAGCGGGCTTCATCTATGTTCCTAGGTGCGCCGCGTGTCAGATGGTCGACAGAGCGTGTTCAAAACTGTTCTTGTGGAGATCGACCCGTTCATGGAGCGCTTCACAATGGCCGGTCGCATGCCTGGGGATGACGAAAAGGACCCACTGGCATGTGCCATCATCTTCACTAAAAGGTGAAACCCAACCACTGTAGAAATACGTATTATTGGGGGAAAACCCCTCACCCAAGTTATGAAGGTTTATACTTTGACTTCCTTCAACGAGTCATATTGGTCATATCACATGTTTTCTTCAATTGGTTATGCTAATTCCATACCTGCCTCTAGAGTGAGACAGCCTGTTAATTGTCGATATGTAACTATGTTTTCGGTTTATCATTTGGAGCAGTTAGCTGCAGAGACCTGCTTAGGCAAAATTAGATTTAGTGGTTATCAGAGATACATATATACGATCCTAAAGAACATGATGTATGATCTAATAACTTGTTTCCACGCCTACAAATTTGACTTTGAGTCTTGTCAGACCACAGGATTGTCTGGATAGCCATCCACTAGTGAAATTAACCAAAGTAACTACAAGGGAAATATGTAAACATTTATATCTGTTCCGAATCCCAATTCCATGGTATTGTTTTGATGACTCTTGTCTTTATTATTATACTTCATTGTGAAAGACTAAGTTATCCGAAGTTGAGAAAAGTGATATTTTCATTGCGTAAGTGTCTCGCCCGTACACAAACTGTTGACTTCATTTCTACCACAGGGGCGTGCAACGCAAAAAATAGCAGCTACAAGAAATATGGTCACACCCAGTGTCAGTATACTATATAAAAGGAAAGGGGGGTAACGAGACCAACTCACTTTCGAAGTTCGTTCGAGGACGAATTCAACAATGTCCACTGTAAATACCACTATCAAACGTTTCACTGATTTCAAACCAATACATTTAGCGACACAATGAGACATAGATGAGGAAAATCGAAGAGTACTTTTGGAGCTTACGTCTTCAGAAGCTCAAATTATCGTGATTTTTCGATTCCGAGCCAAAATCCTTGCTCAGATTTTGTACCGCTAACTTACCGATTTTTTTGTATATTGGATCGTGTGCACAAATACCACGCGCAAAAACACATTGAATCGATGGCACCTGTCAGTCCGCCATCATCATTCTTTCCGCGTCGTATAATCCTGATGGTATAATGAGTTTACGTACATTTATTCGACTCAGTAAGCCCTTTGACGTGATAGACGACCTTGGCCTTGACATATCCCGCACTGAAAAAAAGCAAGCGATCTGATTGGCTATAAAAAACATATTTTTTTTCCCTCTCCCATTATCTGCTAAATGAATGGCGCGACTTTTTTCAGTTACAGATGGTTTCTCATTTAACCCGTCATTCGAGACTGTTCGTTTCGCAAAATGCCATTTTTGTTAATTGGCTAGCTTGTATTCTTTCGCTTCCAACAGCGGTCTCGTAGATTTCAAGAATATGTTTCGTTGAAGATGTTTTTGCATATAAACATATCAAAATGTATGATAAAGGATTTCATGACCTCAGATACTTTTTGTTACTTTTGTTTATGTATTTTAAATTTTGCAAACACGGAACTACCTTTTAAGTTGCAATTACGAAGGATGGTGAAACGTCACTGCCTTGCAAGATAAAAAGTATTTCAAGGTGTTACAGTTGTAATGAAATAACTTCATTTTCCTGTAGATAACTACACATACAGTATATTATAAATAGGATATTCCATGAGTCTCGTGAAATATCACGTTTCACTCATCTCGTGACGGGGGAAAGAAGATATTTTCAAACAAAGACAAACATGATATTTTACGCGACACATAGAATATCCTCTGTATATGTAGTAGTTCGTGCATATTTTACATTGGATTTGTTACGTAAATCACTGAACGGCGATTTCTCCATTAGAGTTGAAAGTATTTCAGACGTTTATAATGGGCTTAAGTTTTAATGGTATTATAACGTTCTTGTCAGTTGTTAAAGACTGACCTTTTGACAGCCTTGGGATGTGATCCTGGCATTTTATTGAAAAAAAGACAGGTTAAAAATGAAGCAATATTCTGCCACCAAAATAAAAGTAGTGAGTTAACACTTTTTCGACGAGGTACAGTTTTGATTTTTCAAAATTATTTATATATATATTTTCGGCTGATAATTTAATTCCTTCTTTTACATAAAACATTCCTTAGATGTACTACAATCAAATGATTGTACTTGTCTTCGCGTGTTTCGCCTATTTGAAAGTGGTAGAGGTTTAAGATATGCATTAATTCTGGTTTGCCTTATTAAGCTGGCAATCCCTGACAGAACTGAAATACAGTTCAAATTCACTCAATCACTCCTACTCCCGTTCAGGTTTTGGGCGGAGTTGGTGATAGACCCCTCCTCCAGCTTCTACTACTACTGGTCCATGTTCCTGACAGTGGCTGTATACTACAACCTCATCGTCATCATTCTGCGGGCGGTCTTCACCGAACTGAGGGAGAGCGCATACATGCCATTTTGGTTTGCATTCGACTACTTCTTTGACCTCACCTACATCCTGGACAGTGTCGTCAAGAGCAGATTAGGTGTGTACTGTGTCGTTATGAAACTCTTTCACTTACAATTTATTCATTGTCTTATTTAAGAAATAAACAACGAGTGGGAGTTGTTTATCGTACAATAAAACACTGCAGGGAGAATAAACCGCGAGGGGCGTAGATACAATAGGTATTTCTCTAGTTGCAATTTATCAAACTCACAATTCCTAAATCACGAGGCTAATTTTAGTAAAACAAATATTGAAAACTCAAACTCTCAACATTGCTGTCCTTATTCAATAACAATGTGTGTAGGGGTGATAATTTGTTGTATACTTTTTATAGTGTTATTTGAAACGGCAGGCTATGCGACTATATACTGAAGACGTGGGCTAGATGAGATTGGGTCCACAATAAGTTTATCAAACTTGAAATGCACCACACACAAATACACATCACATTGTTGTATTCTGGGGAAAGTATTTATTATGTGATGCCATTAACAACTATTTTAGGCAAAGCATATGTACATTAAACTACATCTGCAAATAATGTACAACGAAAATATCGCCATTTTCGCATTTTACCAATTCCCTATTCTCAATGTAATTATTTATTCGAATAACGGGCAGCTGCATGGGAAGTTTAATTACAAAACTATGCGGTGTCTGCTCTTTGTCCAAACACCAATAATCATTCCGAAAAGATTATAATTATTTATATTCGTTTTCGAAACGTAAGTGAGTGAGTGAGTTAAAATTTAACGTCGCATCGGCATTATCGCAGCCATATAGCGACGTAAAGACTCTGAACCGAACCTCCATGTTGGATAGTGTTGCAAAATTACGATTCTTTTACGTCAATCAAGATGTCTATCACATCACATGTAGTTCACTCTCAGTTACGATACATATATCCCTGAATTGCCAGAAAATGTAAACAAAGCAAACTGCTAGTATTAAATGCTAACATTTTCTACTATTTCGAGAGATTCAGTCGTCAATGTGTTGCATACATTAGCTCAGATTATTGCGAATATGCATGGGACGATAATCGTAATAAGAATTGCTAAATTAACAGTTAGATAGTTATTTGGAAAAATCAACAGAAATTGTTCCACCTGACGCCAATGACTGACGCAAAATCACGCGCACTGACGACGGTATTGGACTGCCTTTCCACATAGTATCAAGACAAAATAAACGTAAACACAAATAGAACATGTTGATTTCAGACTGATTCAGATTGCTCAGCTTACATCATTCATTTATGTATATGCGATCCCTGCATCACGGAAAAACCTACTTTGAACATGCCGCGTACTGCTGTCGGTGAACTAGCTGTGTTACCGGTAGTGATGTCATCTTATACTACAGTATACATCAACATCGATGTACATATTTATTATTTTCTTTGAGGTGCGGGTGATAGTACACAACACATTCAGTTCCTGAAGTAGTTCACTCTTTCCATATTGAATTATAATTTGAATATCTCTTGAATAAAGTTTCACCCAGCACAAAAAAAATCACTGCTGCAAAATGGATACATATTGAGGCTATCAATTACTGTTACATATTATCAAAAATGACATAGAATTTATGAAAAGTTTGATAAATTGCTATTTGTTAGAACAGTAGTATAGGTAATGGGGGTTCTGGCTCACTTCCACTGGAGCCGGATTCATATACCTATACTGCTACTACAGGGGGGATTTTTTATGCGTAAATGATGATGTGATTCAATGATAGTCATGAGATTAAGTTAAATTGGCTCCAGCTCACCACCACCTGGAGCCAATGATATAAATTTTTATAGGTAATAGGGGTTCTGGACCACTTCCACTGGAGCCAGATTTATTACCTATACTGCTACTACAGGGGGGATTTTTTATGCCAAAATGATTATGCGATTTAACGATAGTCATAAGATGTATTAAACGAAACATCAATATTAATTAATAATGAATAAAATTTACTATAGCCCACGAGGATATTGGAAAGGTATAGGAGCAATAAAAAAATTAGCCACCGCGGCTAAGGTATCTAAAGATGTGGCCAAGGATTGGTTAAAGAAACAAGCGATGTGGCAAATATATTTACCGGCACCGCGTTATATACCGAGCAAGAATTTTTACGACGAATGAAGTTCATCAGGCTGACCTCTTGTTTCTTCCCCACGATAAGGTAAAACGCAAAACGTATAAATACGCTTTAACCGTAGTGGATGTGGCTAGTCGATACAAAGAGGCTGAGCCATTAACCTCGAAAGATTCAACAGAAGTAGCTAATGCACTGACTCGCATATATAAACGCGGACCGCTAAAATGGCCTAAGCTATTTCAAGTAGATCCCGGTCGCGAGTTTATGGGATCGGTAACTAAACTGTTAACAAAGAACGATGTTGAAATCGTCCGTGGTGAAAGAGAGGCCCACCGCAGTCAAGCTATCGTCGAAAGATTTAACCGGACATTAGCGGAACGTTTGTTTGGCTATCAGTATGGGATCGAAATGAAATCCGAGCGATTGAGATCAACCGAATGGGTGACACTATTATCAGCCGTTGTATCAGCGCTGAATAATGAAGTAACGAGATTAATAGGGAAGAAACCATCCGATGCTATTAAAATGAAATCCGTGACTTCCGAATCTTCAGCACCGAGGAGAGGCAAAGAACGAAAACTTCCGGATAGAGTAAGGGTAAGATATTTATACCAGGCCGGTGAACTCGAAGGAGGCCTACGTCGCGCAACCGATCCCATATGGTCCCTTAAGACGTATAACATTAGTCGATTGGTTACGAAAGAAGGAGAGCCTATTCTTTATTATCTTCAAGATGGACCGGGTAGGGCATTTGTAAGAGAAGAGTTGTTCATAGTTCCCGACGGTACGGTATTACCACCATAGCCATAAGCATAGGTAGATACACCATCATTATCAATCCATCTCTTTGTATCTAAGGGGGATAATGATGTCTTGTTCATTCTTAATCCATATATCCTATGATTGTAACTTCTTAAAGAGTTCATCTCGTGTTTGAACGTTCTACCGTTAAATAATGATTCTTTATACTGTTCGTGCTTGATATGCTTTTTTACAACATACTTCTTAACGCCCTTAGCTTTTCTTATCTCTCCATTATCGGACTTCTTAATAGAATACATCTTAGGTCTTAATCCTACATACTCCGCTATAGGGGTCCCAGCACATTCATCCTTCATCTTACCTAACACCTTTTTATTTACAACGCTGTGCAGTGGATTATCTTTTGGATAATCGCTCGTGTCGTACATATCTATTTTTTTCTGCCATATCTTTATACACATCCTCGGTTTGTATTTCCATCAACAAAGAATCTGTGTCGGTATATAACACCTCACATCTATCGCCGTATTGCTTCTTAAGTTCGTTGTAATAAAAGTCATACATTAAGTGTTTTGACAAGTCGAGAATACTCATACCGACGTACACCGGTCTGTTGAATTTTATATTACTCTTCTGCATATGCAACGCGGCTAAGTCGTTATCGAATATCTTGCTTCTGTTAAAAGCCGGACTGGCTATAAGTTTCCTGAGTCTTTCTTCCTCATTAGATCTGACTAATTTAACATCAACACGCTTCCTTAGATTCTCCATAGTTTTACCAAATACTGAGTTATTCATGAGCTTATATATATTCTTTTCGAAATCGCTGGTAGCTATCTTTCTTAAATCTGTGTTCAACCTTATATAGGGCTCCATCCAAGGGCTTTGATCAAACTTTAGAACTCTGTGTATTTTCTTAAGTTTCATACCTAACGATAGATACAACTGGAGATTTCTGTAGTGAACTATATATTTTGTCTTATCCATCAAATTTGGTACAAGTTTTTCTACGTTAGCTAATCTACTATTACCCATCAAGGAGCGTAGATATTCCGACATCCAATCTTTATTAACAATTAATCTTTCGGGAGCTAGCGGATAACTGTTATGATCTTTATGTAACGAACTTGGATATTCCAAGTCAACTTCTAGTATGTACCCTTTATTCTCATCATTATTATGGATATTATCGATATTATCGACCCATTCAAAACCACCCGTGGGTAAAGGTTGACTCATAGCCCATCCGTACAAATTGTTAGCGTCGAGATATAATATGTGCGTGTCGGGTTTACTGGGATCGTATCCTTCCACTAATTTATTATTAGCCTTAGAATACCTTTTAGCTGCCATCGATATACCACCTCTTAATCCTTTCTCAATAAACAAGTGCATATCGTAATCTGTGAGTAATTTTAGTTCTACGCCGGTCTTCTTCAACAATGCATCCCACGATAGTCCGGGACTGGAATAGTACCATGCCGGGTCCAAGCCGTATTGTTTGAAACATGTCTTTCTAAATATCTCGAATATATCGGCGAGTAACAGTACATCGGTTTTTAAGTACAGATCGTGATAATCGCCTAAATTCTTACAACCTAATTTATCCCACACCGTCAGAGCGTGTTCATAATCGGCATCTGTTATTCTAGATTCTGTTAAGTTACTATAGAATGATTCGAGGGGTGGTAATTTAGTTTCTTCGAATCTAGACCAATCATCCATATATTCGTAAGGATATACACCTTTTCTCAGCAACAAATGACGAGTTATCTTATCGGTATATTTATTTGTTATCGCAAAGTCATCGGGATTGTTCGCATTAGCTAAATTGTCCAGGGAAGATAACAGAAACTGTACGGAGTCTATGAATCTAAGCCCATTACTTTGCTTTATTCTAGATTTCCCATCCTTGTCCCTATAATGTATAGGTTTAGTCAACGAGAACGATATGTATTTTTCCATATTATTAGGAATGCAGTTAAACCGACGTCGGTCTTTGAGATAGCTTGCATAATGAGATGTGAATCGTATCCCCTAAGGTTGTGAAACACAACGGGGATGGGTATTGTTTGAGAATTCATTTTTAGTTTCAAGTTACACTCGTTATGAGCGGCTCCCCGATAATTACCGGTGACGTGACAATGATCTCTTACTGAATCCCCATCCAGGGGTTTATTACAA